TGGCAATGTTTGGGAGACTTTGGAGAAAAAAAAAAAAAAAAAAAATCTCCTCCCTGCCTCCTCTCTTGTCTCTGGCAGTCTCTGGCCAGCCCTCCAGCTGATGGAGTGAGTGGCCAGTGCCCAGATGGGATGTGGCAGAGTGACAGCTTTGGTCCGTTTCAGCACATGTTGCCAGGGCTCTGCAGCCTCCTGAGGGCAGAAACTCCCCAGAGCCACGAAAGGGCCTCCACCAGCCTGGCTGCAACCCAGACGTGTCCGAGCCCCAAGGCGTGGGGAGGGCCTCTGTGGAGGGAGGTCTGTGTCACCTTCAGGGTGACATGCTCCACTAAGGACCATTCTCTGCCCTGGAGGCACCTCTGTCACAGCCGATGAGATGCCACTGTGCAACCCAGCTGTGCTTTGCTGCTAGAAAGCATCATCCCTTCCTCCCTGGTCCTCTTCCCCACCAGGCCCTCTGTTACGGGACTGAAGTGTGGAGGAGAGGGATGGCTTTTAGGGCCTTGGAGGTTCTGCTCAGAGGCTGCTTCCTCCTGCAGCCCGGCTGTCACTGAAAGCGCATGGTGTTCAACCCATGCCTGCAGTGTCATACCTTGACCCAGAAAGCTTCTTGTTTTGGCTCATGCTCAGCAGGGATCTGGCCAGGGCTGCCTCCGATGAGGCTTTGCAGAGAAAGCAGGGTGTAAGGAAGCGTGGGGAGCTGCAGCCTGTGCAGGCAGGGGAAGGCAGGGGTGCATGGGAGGAGCCAGGCAGAGCTCTTGAAGTGTCTCCCCACTTGCGTTAACCCCCATCAATAGGTCCTTTCTTGTGAGGCTGGCCGGAGGCAGAGGTGACTCACTGGTGGGTGCAAGGCACAAGGCGGATGCTCCCACCCACCACATCACAAACTGAAGGGACCAGCCCTTCAGGGCAGAAGCAGCATCAAGAGAAAATCCCTGTTGTGAAAGCTCTTTGTGTTTCCCTAGGGTGAGGCTGGACCCCCAGGACCCAAGGGCTACAGGGGAGACGATGGCCCCCGCGGCAATGAGGTCAGTGCTGCTTCATCACTGCATCTTCTGGAGGGAGGGAATGAAGGGAAGACCAGGAGATGCTGCCCATTAGGGCTGTCCCCAAATCCCTCGGATCTTGGAAACCTGTTGTAGGTACAAACTCAGGTGCTAGCTTCCTGGCAGACACATCAAGGCATTTTTCATGGGTCCTTAAGGCCATAGCTGCCTTTTTCCCCACCTCCCAGAGGCCATTTCGTGGAGGCGGTATAGCCACACCACAAGCCATGTGACTTCCCATCACAGAAGCTGGGGGAGCTGCTCTCTGAGGGCAGCCACCTGAATCTGCCAGCAGATTTGATCCCCAGGGCAGGGAGCAAGCTGAATCCCAAGCCCAGCTGTGGGCTTTGTATTGCTCTTGTATAAGCAAAACATCTCCTGTGATGGGCTCATGATGGTAGCTGGCTGCCTCAGAAGGCATCATCTTCCCAGCTCAAAGGATGGTGTACAATGCTTGACTGCTTCTTCTGCTCCTTCCAGGGCCCAAAGGGATTGCCTGGAGCACCTGGGCTGCCTGGAGACCCTGGCCTGATGGGAGAAAGGGTGAGTGGTATTTGTTTTGGGAGGATTGCATGCCATGTGGAAAGGATGCACAACAGGCTGGTTCCACACAGCATGATCCAACTCAGGGAGAAAAGAAATTACATTCATACACAGCTGAGATGCTGGGAAAATTTGCAAGCAGCCTGCTTTTGAATATGCATCACATCTGCAGGCTCAAAGAGCCGTATTTTGGGATGTACTTTCCAGCAACAGAGACCTGATACTTCCCAGTCTGTTCCCAGCCTGTGGTCATATCCCCAGTCTCTGAGAGGGACAGTGTCACTCTCCTCTCAGTGGCTGTGCAGGTCACACACAAGCAAGATGGCCTTTTTACCTGCCTGCACCAGTGTCCAACCCACCAGTTGCGTATTTTTTGCACAGACACTTTGCTGTGGAGATAAACTGTCCAAGGAGGGCAGGATCCTGCTGCTGTGCTATCTAAGGGGTCTGCTTTTCATTCTCTCACATATTTCTCCCTTCCTTTTCAGGGGGAGGATGGTCCTCCTGGGAACGGCACGATTGGATTCACAGGTGCCCCGGTAAGCTTTTTGTGCTGCTTTGATACTGTAAGACCATTATTTCTGCTTGTCCAACCTAACGTGCTTCCTTTCCTTCATCCCCAGGGGCAGCCAGGAGACAGAGGTGACCCTGGCATTAACGTAAGTGTGCTGCTTCCTCATACACCCAACAGAAATTGCTCTGGCCAGTGGTTTGGCTCCTAGTGCCTCTCCATCAGCTGCATGGTGAAATGGGCTCCCTGAAGCAGCCGGCTCCTCCAAAGCCCTCTTTTCCTTCTGCCCACCTGTCCCTGCTGTGGATGCTTCTGCCTTGGTGCGTGGGTAATAACACCCAAGGGCAGCAGCCTGGGCTAAGTGCTCTCCAATGCAGGCCTGGAGCCAGAGTTTGGGGTTGGGAGTGCCACCCAGGGGGAGCCAGATGGTGCTATAATAGTAAAAGCCACCTAAGAAACTTTCTCCCTCAATAGCACTGCAGTTTGGTGCTAGGGAGCCTATAGGCTGCTCTTCAACCCCCCCCCCCCCCCCCCCCCCCCCCCCCAAGGTCACTGCCCGCC